TCCGCAACACACCAGTTTCATTTATCCTGGAGACATGTACAACAATGCCAGGCAGTTCTAGATATTATAATTTTTTTTTCTCATTATGTTTATCAATTATATAGTGTATTTTCTATATATGTATATTTTAATTACTTCAGAAAAAGTAATTTTTGTTATGCAAGTGTATAAACGCATTGTATATTTGTCATGATTACTCTACATTTTTCTTACAACATGCATATGTGAAGGGATTATGTCTCTCACCGGTACTTTGTTGAAAAGTAGTCATGATTGGGTTGTATTTGCATGTATATTTTTCGTACTTTTGCACAAGTTGACATTTAGATGATTTTGTACAATATTGGGGGTGGATTTTTCAAATATAATTACTGATTGATAAAATTCGCCAATGGATACCCTTGGCTCTACAAGGAGGGGAGGAGTGTGGTACCACAGCCCCACTCATCCGTGTACGACCTATCTCAACTAACATTCATCTCCCTGACCTCCATCTTGCCAGACGTCTGCTAGACATAGCCTGTCTTATCGACCTAATCTGGAGGGATTTGTCAGGTAATTCGTCGACCATTACGACAAAAGTTCAAATTTTTTGTTTGTGTTTTTACCATAGAGAATGTTGAGTGAAAAGCTTAAGTTGTAATGTATAAAGAAATGTGGTGGTAACTAAAAATCCCCCCCCCCTTTTTACAAAATAGGATTCTCAGTTCTGAGATATGTTTTCCTTTCTTTTTCAAAACTTTTCGGGTAATGCTCTTTCCAGGTTTATGAACCTCCTACTTTAGAAATCATGCTCCACCTGGTATCCTATTGATTTATTTAACTACATGTATGTGTAAAATAATTTTTTTCCTCTTCAAATATCCTGCGGTAACAGGTTTGTTTGCTTGATCTACCTGTTCCCAGGAGTCCGTTTGCACAGAGTCCGTTTTTTTTTCGCCCAATATCTATATTTAATTATGGCTATCAGACCCTATGCGAACAAAATTTAGGGCGAGCGGACTCTGGGTGAATGAGAAATCTGGCGAACAATATTTAGGACTAAAGAACGTGGAACCTAAACAAAGCACCGCCCCCCCCCCACCCTCTTGAAAATTCTTTCAACCCCTCAACAAAAAAATACCCCACTATTCTGTCCACAAGAACCTTTGTGAATTCCAAAATATATGCAGATATAAAGAGGCTTATATTTACATCTAGAATGCAAGACTGAAATTCCCAAAAATGAGTTGTACTGTATATATATTTACAAAATATTTATTAGTTGCAAAAATATTTATTAAATGTTGTATTCTATACTTGCAGGTATTTGCATGGCACTCCTTTATACCACAATGATGGCTTTTCCAAGATTATAAATATGAAACATGTAAACAGGTAAAAAAAATCTAAGAGAGAAATTTAATATTTGTTGCAGAGCCTGAGGTGCTGTTAATGATAATCATCTTTTATTTGCGGCAACTTTATTCACAATTTACCAGGGATAAACTAGTTCGCGATCAAGCCTTTATGCATCTGTTTTTCATAGACAAATATACTTTTAGGACGGGTTGTCCATCTGTCTGTCTGTCCGTCCGTCCGTCTGTCTGTGCAATCCTATCCGGTCCATATCTTTCTTACAGAGGGACATTAGAATCTACCACTCCACACTAAGATTGCTCATGACCAAAGGGTGTGTCATGACCTTGACTCAAAGTCATTTTGGGAAGTTCAAGGTCACTGGAAGAAAAAATTCATAATTCGTGTCCGGTCCATATCTTACTTATGGATAAACTTGGTAGGTTCTCATTTCACACAAAGATTGCCCATGTGTGTCATGACCTTGACCCAAAGTCATTTGGGGAAGTTCAAGGTCACTGGAAGAAAAATTTCATAAATCATGTTTGATACATATCTTTTATGGATAAACTTGGTAGGTTCTCATTTCACACAAAGATTGCCCATGACCCAAGGATGTGTCATAACCTTGACCCAAGGTCATTTGGGAAAGTTCAAGGTCACTGGAAGAAAATTTTCATAATTCCTGTCCGGTCCATATCTTTCTTATTGATAAACTTGGTAGGTTTTCATTTCAAACAAAGATTGCCCATGACCCAAGGGTGTGTCATGACTTTGGCCCAAGGTCATTTGAAGAATATCAAGGTCACTGGTAGAAAAATTTCATAATTTGTGTCCGATCCATATCTTTCTTATGGACAGAGGATGACAAATCCCATTGCCCGATGCCCGGGGCTAGTGAATTTTAGGGTTGGGCAAGTGAAATTTTATCAACCACTTGCCCGTGGACAAGTGACTTAATCAATTATCAAAAATAAAATCAATATCTATGCCAATATTCTACTCAATATTTTTTATATATATTTATAAATACAGAATAAGTTAATGGTAGGGCAGGCAAAAATTCAGGTAGGGCAAGTGAATTTTGACCATGTACTTTCCCTTGGGCAAGTGCCTGAAAAATCTATTTGTCAGCCCCTGTATGGATAAACTTGGTGGGTTCTCATTTCACACAAAGATTGCCCATGACCTAAGGATGTGTCATGACTTTAATTCAAGGTCATTTGAGGAAGTTCAAGGTCACTGGAAGAAAAATATTATAATTCCTGTCCGGTCCATATCTTTCTTATGGATAAACTTGGAAGGTTCTCATTTCACTCAAAGATTGCCCATGACCTAAGGGTGTGTCATGACCTTGACCCAAGGTCATTTGGGGAAGTTCAAGGTCACTGGAAGAAAAATTTCATAATTCGTGTTTAATACATATCTTTATTATGAAAGAACTTACTTCTGAAAAACCCAGCGGGGGTATTTTGTCCCGTTTGGACAGTTCTAGTCTTGCATTTCTTTAATGTAAATATAATCTTCTTTAATTTATAGAATACATGTTTTAAATAAAGTGACAAAGGGATAATGAACTCATTGTTATTGAACCTACAGACACTATCTGACATTTTTTGAGTTTCTCTGTAGGCACAGTTACTTGTCATCACAAGGATCAGAATTCAAGTACCAGAGTAGTCCTAACTCCTAAATCATCCCAATTTGTCAAAAGTACATGTAAGTATTTTATCATTTTTTGGGACACTTTTTTAGCTTACCTGAGCCAAAGGCTCAAGTAAGCTAGCTTCTCTGATCAGAAGTTTTTGTTGGTGTAGTTGGCGTAGGCTTGTCGTAAACTTTTCACATTTTCATCTTCTTCTCAAGAACAACTAGACCATATTCCAACCAAACTTGCTACAAAATATCCTTGGGTAAAGGGGATTCAAGTTTGTTAAAATGAAGGGCCACGCCCTCTTTCAAGTGGACATAATTATGAATTAATGAAAAATTAATGGCATTTTAAAAAAATCTTCTCAAGAACCACTGGGCCAAGAAAGATGAAACTCATGTGGAATCATCCTCAGGTTGTATAGATTCAAGTTTGTTCAAATCATGACCCCTGGGATTAGGTTGGGGCCAAAATGGCCGACCCAAGTTTTACATTGGGATATATAGGGATACCATTTTAAAATCTTTCTTTCAGGCCAGAATTAAAAATATTTTTGTTTCCCCTAACCCGACCCTAAAATTTCAAGTTGGGTCGGTAGGTAGGTAAACAATTTTATTTTCTGACAGCAGCTTTGAAAAAACATTCTAAAATTTAATGGAAAATTACCTTCATAAATAAGAAAAGTACAAAAGAAAGCGATTTGTGGACAAAATGCTAAGAATCGTACATAATGCCGTTTAAAACCAAAATTCATGATTAATTAATTCACAACTGTTATTTAGATGAACTTGTGAAATATCTCACGCCAGAGTACGTTTATGTAAATCGAATAAAAAAGACAAGATCCTCAAATACGCAAAGACTGGATATCCGAGTATATTTTTTTCAAAACTTCAATCATCCTCCAGTGCTTACAGTCATTGTACTTTTTTGAGGTCTATGAGATTTACATTGTATCTAGAGCATTTTGCTTTTGAGTTAAGACGTAAGTGGTTAAGTTTAAGTCGCAGGTTTAAATACCAATGAGGAACGTTGAAAACGGTCCTTCAAAAGGGACCATAAAACTTTTGTCCAGTGTCGCAGAAGATGCTGGCTCAAAAAGATCCCACTGCTTAATCCCCTACCCCGCAGTCACGCATTTCAACGCATATACCATTTCCTATTTCCAATGCAAAATCACGCATTTACCGTTTCCCCACAATCACGCATTTTCACGCACTTTAAACAAGTCATTTAATCTTCAAGTTATTGCTCAATTCCAACTATTTTATACTTGCTTAAATCTCATAAAAGAAGAAAAGTTATTTTCTAATTAAAATATTACGTCATGATATTATTTACGCTAAACTTTAGAGAAATTTGTACCCCGCTATAAAGTGCTTGTGGGGAAATGGTAAAGTTATATTTCTATGACGTGAGAATTCAGTGTATGTTGCATAACAATTCTATAAGTTGTAAAGAGTTAATGACAAAAAAGTGCAAAGTACGTCTAAATTTGGAGCAATGGGGAAATGTTCAAATGTCGTCCCAACAAATCTCGAAGGGATTAAAAGTAAAGAAACAACCAATCTTCAAGGGCCTAATTAAAGAAAACTACACTAGACATCTCAGGAATCTAAATTATGATTTCAAAACTATTTGGAAAGAGTATTTAAACAATATTTAAATGAACCAAACCGTATCTACAAATGATAAAAATTCTATATAAAACAATGTCATAGTCACGAAGTTTAACCCGTAAATAAAGGCATGAAAAAGTACAACTGAATTATATTTATCAGGATGAATATGCACACATAGTTACAACAACTCCTATGATTCCATAATGGCATATACTAGTAGTTAACATAGGAACATAGATGAATTGTTTATTAGATCAAAACTCAAATAAAATGCAGTGAAATTGAATGATGTGTTCACTAGGTGGGCCCCTCATCTGCTCATGAGGCTGGCCTTTCCATGTATTACGTACCTGAAATTCAACAGACAGATTTGTTTGTTCGTTGTTTACCGTCCCTTTCGAAAATTTATTCACTCACATGGAGACGCCAAGACACCTCCGAAACACTCTTAATTAGTCATGGTAAATTTTATTATCAAATTGTTTCAAGAGTGAAGAATTACATGTATAGTTTAAGTTAGCTAAAGGCATAAGACTGATATATCGCCGTTGTTTTATGAAGAACTACTTCTCTGTAATCACATCTGGGCGCTATTTTTTTTTACAACAAATGCTTGAATATCACAGTAGAACAATGTCGGCCGTTCTGATAAAAACTGATTTTGATGAAATTGTATTTTATAAAACTTAGTTGACAATAAAAAAAAATTTGAATTATCTTATTTCAAAAATCTTTTCAGTCGGTGCGTTTTATAGTTGGGTCGGTCGCGTTAGGGGAAACAAAGGTATTTTTTATTTTGGCCTCAAGTACTTCAGCGCAAGTGAAGTAGTGATATTTATATGGAATCATCCTCAGGTAGTGTAGATTCTAGTTTGTTCAAATCATGAACCCCTGGGTGGGGGGTAAAATTAAAGCCCCCCCCCCCCCCCTCATAAACTTTCAGTTCTGATCTGATATGTGCTTTTTCTTAGCAGATGTTCTCAGGTGAGTGCTGTGGCCCCTGGGCCTCTTGTTTTATCCTATGTTTAGTCTTTGCGCTTTTATATATGCCTATATTACAGATTAAAGCAAGGACTGAAGTTTCTGAAATACAAGGCAAACTCAAAGGTCAATGTCAAAAGGTCAAAATTGTTAGCATTTGAAGGAAGGTTTAGTCATATGGAATAAACTTGTGAAATGTGAGACATTTAGTATTAACTGTTAAAAAGTTATGGCCTAGATTATAGTTTTTAAAAGTGGGTCTGGTCAAACTCAGGTCAAGATCAAATGGTAAAAAAAACTCATTGAAGGGTCTTGTCACAATGATTACAAAATAATGTGAAGTATCAGATTGATAGCACTAGATGTTCAAAATTATAGCCTAGGTTAAAGTTTAGGGATTTTTTTTTTTTTTTTTTTGGTAAAAGTGGCTCAAACCCTAATATCAAGGTCGAGAGGTCAAATTTTATAGTACCCCAAAAAGTTCTTGTCACAAGAAATACACCTGTGGAATATGAAGCCATAGCTCCACCCACTCATAAGTAATGGGTAAGGTTAAAGTTTTAGCAGACAAATACAGGAAGCAAAAAGATGGACATACAGTGCAAAAACAATATAAACCCAAAAATCTTTGATAACGGAGGCAAAATTAGTGCATAATTATTTTTTCATGACCGTTTAAATAATTACAAAGATTCAAAATTATTAATATTGCTTTAAAAAGTTGATCTTGTTATTTAATTTCAAAATAAGAAAAATAAATGAGATATAAATTAAATTCATGACAAGTCTTAATTATATTTTTAGATTTATTTCTGTTCTTTGCTTTACAGAAAGCTTTCGCTGATGGACACAAATTGTTCAGAAAAAATCCAGTTACCACACTAATCAGCCATAGATTTCTGACGTGCTTTCAGAAGGAACATAGATGCAATGGTAGGTAAATTTTGCTTTTAAATTCCCTTGCAACAGATACAAATTGCATCATCAGATCTGGTTCAATGAAACACAGACAATATTATCTCAAGGTTTGTTTGAAACCTGACACAAGATTATTGTTAGGGCCCCGCTCAGCGGGTGCCCTGTAGTGATCAGTCTGTCAATCCGTCTGTCCGTCTGGCTTTCCGTTCGTCAGTCCGTCCGAGATCTCTTGTCCACAGCATATCTTCTCTCCCCTTGGCCCAATCTGGCTCATACTTCACCCAAAGAGTGCCCTTGGGTAACCGGTGTGCAGTGACCTTGGACCATGTTTCTAGGTCAAAGGTCAAGGTCATAGCAGAATTGTGTGAAAAATCCTTGTCGAGAGCATATCTTCTCTCCCCCTTGGCCCAATCTGGCTCATACTTCACCCACAAAGTGCCCTTGGTAACCGGTGTGCCGGTGTGCAGTGACCTTGAACCATGTTTCTAGGCCAAAGGTCAAGGTCATAGCAGATTTTTATGAAAAATCCTTGCCCGGACCATTTCTCTCTCCTTGGCCCAATCTGGCTCATACTTCACCCACAAAGTACCCTTGGGTAACCAGTGTGCAGTGACCTTGGTTGATGTTTCTACGTCAAGGTCATAGCAGACTTGTATGAAAAATCTTTGTTTGGAGCATATCTTCTCTCTCCTTGGCCCAATCTGGCTAATATTTTACTCACAGAGTGCCACTGGTCAATGTATGTGACTTTAATTGTTCGAAGTTTCTAGGTCATGGTCAGAATTAGCCTTTCTGTTTTGTTTGGTGCATAATCCCCCCCCCCCTTAATTCCAGTAAATTCTTATACTGTAAACGTACTTTTTTCCACGGGGTCATAATTCCGCGGAATCTCAATTTCTGTTTAATCTGTGGGTAGAATATTACACGGATTTTCTAGACTGTCACTATATACCTTACATTTATATCAAGTACGCTTGGACAAATTTCCGCGGATTATTTGTGACCGCGTACATAGCGTAAATTAATACCACGCGGAAAAAAATACTTCTACAGTAACTGGGTATACAAGATAACTTTGATATATATCTATGGAACGCCATAGCTGCCTTAAGGTATGGTACACAATGTTACATGGTGTGTTCTATATAATAAAGGGTTGAATCAATATAATAAATGGTCTCCACTTCTTGATAAAGGGTGAAGCGCATATAATACATGGTGTGTTTAATATAATAAAGGGTCGGTTCTGTATGTTAAATGGTCACCATTCCATGTTAAAGGGCGAAGCGCACATAATACAAGGTGTGTTTAATATAATAAATGGTCGCTGCTACTAGTTATAGGGTGAAGTATACAAATTAAATGGTGCATTCGATATAATAAAGGGTGGAATTAATATGTTAATTGGTCGTCGCTACTAGTTATAGGGTGAAGTATACAATTTATATGGTGCATTCGATATAATAACGGGTCGATTTAATATGTTAAATGGTCGCCGCTACTAGTTATAAGGCGAAGTATATAAATTAAATGGTGCATTCGATATAATAACGGGTCGGTTTAATATGTTAATTGGTCGCCGCTACTAGTTATAGGGTGAAGCATAGAAATTAAATGGTGCATTCGATATAATAACGGGTGGCTTTAATATGTTAAATGGTCGCCGCTTCTAGTGAAAGGGTGAAGCATACAAATTAAATGGTGCATTCGATATAATAACGGGTCGGTTTAATATGCTAAATGGTCGCTGCTACTAGTTATAGGGTGAAATATACAAAAAAGGGTAAAGATGTGTCAAATTGTGTAGCTAATTTTACATAGTTTCAAAAGAAAAAAAAGAAAAAAATAAACAAGCAAACAACCCCCACTCCCCTTCACATCTCAGAATTAGTAAATTTAATCTGAAACAATAAAATATCAAGATATCTATGTAAGTCTGTGGTACGAGGGGGAAAGCGCACCGATTTGATTTTTTCATTCCAATGCCCCCCCCCCCCCACACTTTTTGTTGCAGCTTGGTTGAAGTAAAGATTGTCCCACTTTAAAGTATTTCATAAAGAATATTTCAAAAAGTTAGAGAAAGATCCTAAACCCCCAATTGTTTTTCAAATTTGAGACTGTAAATTATTGACGGCTTTCAATTTTTACCCCCCTCCCTTCATAAAACGTACGGCAAAATGAGAAGTAACACTCATGAGAGGTTCGCCCCCCCCCCCCCCCCCCCCGGAAATAGTTTTTTCACATTTGAAAAACGGTTTATGGTGTTTTTTTTTTTTTTTTTTGTTTTGTTTTTTTTTTGCTTGTCAAGAGATGTCAGGAATGAATGTTTATTTTACTGGGGTGGACCCCTCCCTTGGAAAAAAAATTCCTGGACCGCATCCGCGCCTGACACTTAGCTCTCCCCCCCTACCATTAGCCTTTTTTTTGCAATCGTACTTGATAGATTTACACATTTAAATATACGAAACATTTTTGTTCCATCAGCCAGTTCTACAAAGGATAAGTTCGTCCAATTTTCCTTGCAAAATTTTACCCGGATTGCTCATTCTTAATATCTTTCTTCCTTTTTTTTATCTTTAAATAAGAATACTAAAGGAGAACTGTGTCATTGAAATCCCTCTCTAATACCAGTTAATTAATTTATCATAGCTAAAATTTAATGTGCGTTTTTTGAAACCATGCATGTAAAATTAGCTGAACAATGCATGAAAATTGTACAAGACGCATTTTTAGTGTGTTATTTAACTTATTTTAAATATTTATTATGTGCCTTTTACCCTATTACAAGTAGCAGTAAACATGGTAAACCAACCATTTACTTTGTAGAACACACCATTTATCTACCTTTGACACTAAAACAAGTAGCGGCGACCATTTAACATATTAAACCGACCCGTTGTTATGTCGAATGCACCATTTAATTTGTATACTTCACCCTATAACTAGTAGCGGCGACCATTTAACATATTAAACCGACCCGTTGTTATATCGAATGCACCATTTGATTTGTATACTTCACCCTATAACTAGTAGCGGCGACCATTTAACATATTAAACCGACCCGTTGTTATATCGAATGCACCATTTAATTTGTATACTTCACCCTATAACTAGTAGCGGCGACCATTTAACATATTAAACCGACCCGTTGTTATATCGAATGCACCATTTAATTTGTACACTTCACCCTATAACTAGTAGCGGCGACCATTTAACATATTAAACCGACCCGTTGTTATATCGAATGCACCATTTAATTAGAATACTTCACCCTATAACTAGTAGCGGCGACCATTTAACATATTAAACCGACCCGTTGTTATATCGAATGCACCATTTAATTTGTATACTTCACCCTATAACTAGTAGCGGCGACCATTTAACATATTAAACCGACCCGTTGTTATATCGAATGCACCATTTAATTTGTATACTTCACCCTATAACAAGTAGCAGCGACCATTTAACATATTAAACCGACCCGTTGTTATATCGAATGCTCCATTTAATTTGTATACTTCACCCTATAACTAGTAGCGGCGACCATTTAACATATTAAACCGACCCGTTATTATATCGAATGCACCATTTAATTTGTATACTTCACCCCATAACAAGTAGCGGCGACCATTTAACATAGTAAACAGATCCTTTATGATATCGAATGCACCATTTATACACCTATCACCCGATAACATGAAGTGGTGACCATATAACACAATAAACTGACCCTTTATTATATTAAACATACCATTTATAATGTATCTTTCACTGTATAATAAGGAGTGGTGACCATTCAACATAAAGAACCGACCTTTTATTATATTGAACACACCATGTATTATGTGCGCTTCACCCTTTAAAAAGGAGTGATGACCCTTTATTATATTGATTCAACCCTTTATTAAATGGAACACACCATGTAACATTATGTACCATACCTTAAGGCAGCTATGGCGTTCCATATATATCTGTGTTCGCAATATCCGTGAAGTTGTACTAAAATTTTTTACTGTATTACACAAATGCTCCTCTTCAAAATTAACCCGTTTAAACTGTCTTACATTTTCATGTCCATTGTTGAACACGGGGCCCTATGAGATGGCCACCATCTCAATGATGTCTAGTTTTGTTTAAAGTCATTTGCAGGAAAATTGTTTTCATTGTTTGTCAATAATTTTATACTTAAGAAACATTATATGCTTTTAATTATAATTTATGATGTATGATTATGAATTAATTATAATTTATGATGTATGATTCTGAATTTTTTTAAGATCATTTACAGTAGGCAATATAAGTTCAACCTTATACTAAATTGAACATAGGGATGATATGAGTTTGCTATGTACATGTATACATTTGTTCATATTTTGAATATGCTATGGCAATATTGACTTTGAAAATGCATTTGTAAAATTCATGACTGTACTTCATTTACCGGTACCAAGTAGTCATTACAATTATTTTCTCTTGCAGATGAAACATTATCTCCAGACATATGGGTGGCCCTTGAACAGTGAATTGTCAAAAATTGAAGCATTCAATAAAGAAGATTTAAAGAAACAGAAATTCAATGTTTCCAGTTGTTTGTTATCAAAATAATAACTTTGATAATCATAGTGGTGCTTCCTCAAAATCTGCATGTGTTCAATTTAAGCAGTTTCAAATTAAAATATCAATAAAGCTCATTCATTCATTTGCTGGATCAGATTTTGAGATTGTACTTATTGCATTTTTTTGAATATCAGTAACAGTGAAACCTTGATGAATGAGTTGTACTAATTCATATACAGATCTAAGTATTAGAATTTCCTAATACTTTTCATCAAATGGATTAAAAGAATTGAAAGTCCAATATACTAGGAAAAATATATACTGTGTACGTCACATGGATTTGATATGAATATCACATGCAATTTGCACGAAATTCATATGAAAATCTGTAAAGAAAGTAGCAAAAATATTCATATGAATTTCGTGCGAATTTTTATTCGCATGATATTCGTGCGAATATCATGTCAAAATTGCATGATATTTTCATGCGAATATCATGCGTGGTCCTTTTTGTCTCCTTTTCATGCGAAGAATTCACACGATATTCGTGCGAATTTCATATGAAGTTCATGCGAGCCACTTTTGCCTGTGTATATTTTAAAATATCATTCTGCAAATGTCATACGTGTTGATATGGATTCATATAAGCTCATAAATTATTTCTAACAATTGACTGCTATGAAATATAGAAATTCAAAAAATATGAACAAAAACCATTCTTTGCAACATATCTCAATAATTTGATCATTGACCCCATATAACATTAAGACTATGATAATTAGGACAACAAAGGTAACCTAAGGCTATTTATAATTTAGAGTTCTTATCATTCTGATTTTTTTAATATTCGATTCAAAATGGGGAAAAAATATGAATACGACAGCGGAAATTCGGACGGTAATAATTATCAACTTTATGGCCCAAACTCTAATCGTTTCTTTATATGAAGCAAAGCTGTTCTGTTGCTATAATATTTCATTATTTAAAGAGTTGTGTTGCTTGTAATATTTTTGAGTAAAGAAAAAATTGGTCATTGTGTGAAAAATTGAAGCTTTTTCGAGAAATACTGAGGGGCCAGTAGCGTAAAATGTAGGTCATTGACCTAGTTAATTGAAAGTGATATTTAACACAAGAATCATATATAAGTGTACAATGTGCAATCGGTGGTTTTTCGTTCTTATCGGTGGAATTTTTAGTCATCTGAGTAAAGGTATACCTTAAGCTTAAATTGGGCTTTTTTAATTACTTTTACGATGTATTTGATATTATTTGCCAAATATATTGAAAGGATTCATATATAATTCAGGACCTGCATAGAACATGTAATAGCAAGCACAAAATCACCCTTTTTATATGCTGCATGTTATAAAAAAAGGAATTCAAACTTAATTCAAACTTAACAATACTGAAAACTTCAAAAGACTAAAAATTTACCTTTTTCGTCCACAAAAGCCTTCCGCACGAAATCTTTTCGGTATGGAATTTAATCATAGGGTTTTAACTGAATATAGTTTAATTTAGCATCATAGAATCAAAATTTATCCTAAGAACTAAAACATTATGTAGAATTTTTCAAATAGAGGTCAAGATAAAATTCTTCTGATTGGGCAACGCTGTAGTTAGAATAATGTGAGTCTGTAAACAAGCCCTCACTACAGTAAGAATACCCCCCCCCCCTTATCCTTGCAATGTGACAAAATTTTTACAGAATCGCTTTGAAACGATTTTAAAGAATACAAAAGAATCTGCAATGAAAATAACTTCCAAATTAATTATAACAAACCTGTTTAAGGTTTTGTGTATGCCTTTAAACCTAAAATATAATCCAAATAAAAACCAAGAGTCAACACATTTTCTCAACTTTTTTTTCTCGCTTTAAATTTACACGTGATGTTCAATTCGGAACTCTCTTGATTGTTCCTAGTAAATGCACTGAGTTCACTCTAAAAAAAAGATTTACTTAGTAACTTATATTTAGTTAATTTTCTGTATATAAGTAATAACATATTACTGTATGTGTAAAGCGGGCATCATATTTTAGCAGCATTGGCGCAGACAACAATGCGCTAATTCATGAATACCGCGAAGAAATCATTAGATATACAATACACTGAACGGACATGATGATTACACCAACAACTCCATACCCAGTGATTACGCTAACTTTTGAAAGCGGCAAATAATGCACACGTACTTTTGAAAACGGCAAATAATTTACACGTGCAGTACTTGGTCTTTACTTACATTTTACCACTATTTATTAACTATTACCAAAATATTTTTTAATTGCTATATTTAATTGGTTTACCTAAAACAATAAATTATTTACTGAATTAAGGAAAATTCAGACCAGTTGCAGTACAAATTACTTAAATATGGTAGTCTAATCACTATCGGGATCGAATTTTTGAAATGTCGGGCTTGGTGATCAATTAATTGTAACAGACCGCCAAAATATATAATTTTGGCTTCCATATTTTAGGAGAGAAGGAAAGATTGATTGATTGATTGATTGATTGATTATATGCTGTTTAACGTCCCTCTCCAGAATATTTCACTGATATGGAGACGTCACCATTGCCGGTGAAGGGCTGCAAATTTAGGCCTATGCTCGGCACTTATGGCCTTTGAGCAGGGAGGGATCTTTATCGTGCCACACCTGCTGTGACACGGGGCCTCGGTTTATACGGTCTCATTCGAAAGACCGCCCCATTTAGTCGCCTTTTACGACAAGCAAGGGGTACTGAGGACCTATTCAAACCCGGATCCCCACGGGGCGAGAGAAGGAAAGAGAATGTTTTGAAGAGGGGAATGGCTGACCAATACGCATGAGATTGAATTGCTTTATCTTCCAAAAGATGTAGATATTTTATAAACAGTAGGTATCATATTTTTACATGTGCATTTCAGCCACATTCAGTCAGGTCATAGAACTTTTGCAGTCTTGATATAGCACAACTGAGGGAGGTTTTTTTGTTGGACGGGGTAAAATTTTGCATTTATTAACCTCACATATCTTTGTAGAAGAAAATTTTACGACGGGAGAGAATAAGTGGTCATTATGACTTTACCATGTTGTTAACAGGGCTTTAAAGCTAGTCCAGGAAAGTTTATGTATGAGTTATATATGTTCATATTTTTCTTAATTTAGGAAAAGTTTTATCAAAGAAAATTGTACTATAATTAAAATCACTGCAATAAAATAATCACAAATGCCATTATTGATTAATTGTTGTAAACAAATTCATATAAAATTGACGAAACTAAACTCGTATATCTGAAAGTTTATAAAAGGTTAGCAATTATATTAAATTTTATTATTTTTGCAACCGTGAAACTAAAAGTGCGTTTTTACACTGATAGGTATTACCTATTGACTCAGTGCAGCCAACAAACATTAAACATGCAGTTACCTTACCAGTAATGAAGAAGTTAATTTTTATTTGACTGATGGGTATGAAGCGCAGCCCTCGGATATTAAATGAATTTTGAGAACTGAAGGAATGCAGGTAGGAAAAAGACCAAAATCATAAGATGTTTTTTTTATAATGATTTATTGTATCTGGTGTTTATATATTTCAACAATAAAATGTCTGTCTTTGGTTGTTAGTACGGGAATGAATGTCGCAGCTGTTGCAGAAAAAATTTATAACCAGCTTACGCGGGTTATGTAAATTTTCTCTGCAATAGCTGCGACATTCATCCCGTACTAACAACCAAAGACAGACATTTTATTGTTTATATTCATATCTGTTTAAATAATCATTTAAAATAGGATTAAAAAGATTGATTATTGTATTTAATGATGCGAACGTCTTTGTGTGTTTCATTGATGGAACAGCCACTGATCAAGAAATCTGTACAGGTGACATGTCTAGTGTAGCTCATGCACTGATTAACGCAATGGTTATCTTAAGAAATAAAGGAGGAAATATTCAGTGGACGTAAATAAAATTACTGTAATTAAGATCGATAAAAGAGTCTACTGTACATGCTGTTAGTAAATATTCATATATTGTTTTCGAATAGTTAATAGTGTTGTATTTTTTGCCACCAATAGAATAAATTTCTTTTATTGGTCATGAAGATACAGTGTAATTTGTACATTTTTGACTTCATTTAATTTTTTTGCTCCTTATAATGTAACACATTGAATATAATTTTACACTTTGTTGATGCATGGTGTTGTAAATTTTATAACTATGTTTGTATGCCCTATGTAGCAGTTTTAAGAAATTTGGATATCCATATAAGATACTAATTAATAAATTTTTGTACAATTACAAAGCTGTTTTCTTTTTTACATAAGTAATTTTTGCAGTGCTACTAGTAAATAATGTGGATTTAAGTAAAGGAGAAAGTCCGAAAACTGTCCATTCTGTGAGAGAAAGAACTGTTCGAGGCCCGTAGGGCCGAGAATAGTTTTTTCTCTCACAGAATGGACAGTTTGAGGACTTTATCCTACTTAAAACATTTTCTCTATTGTTAACTTAATAAACTGTCCCAGGTGATGGTTATGTATTTGCCAAGATTACGTAACACACTTGATTGTCCAGAGAGTGGGGGTGAAAACAATACCTGTATTGTTTAACTTAATGGACAGTGCCAGGTAAATTTAGATCTGAAAGATAGCTCACTTGATTTCTTACCACTTCCCATGTAAAGCTTCATGAGTGAAGATGTCCTCATCGGATGGAGAAAGTAATACATATTTTTCCAAAATATGGACCAAAGGTTATTACCTACAGTACGTAGACACAAGCAGAAGCTTGTAGGTTTGCAGATTCTAAAGTTGACAAAAACTATCGCAAATCTTTGTAAACAATCAGAATTTAAGGGACACAATGATACGAAACATTCTTTGAGAACAACAGCGACGACCCCCTTGTATGAAGTTTCAGGAACAGTTTATAACAGAAAAAAACGGGCCACAAATCAAGTGGAGTTTTATCATATAATTGAACCAACAATAAATAGTGCAGGGAGTAAATGAAATAATTCATGG